AAATACTTCCCAAATTAGCTCCTTGATTTGTGGCTCCAATATTAATTGGGTCTAATTTGAATGAGCAATTCAAATTTGATAACTTCCCTATTTTGGAAACGCCTCCTCTCAGAAATCTGAGAATAAATTCAGCTTTATTTAATTAGTAGACTAGTGCGTGGACCCCACTTGCTCACAATTCCTAACCCTTTTTTTTTAAAATGGCCGGCCATGCTTAGAGGCCAAATCCTCTCACCTGCTATTAATTCCTATCTAATTAATCCCTTATTTTCTCTGAAAACCGCTGGCCTCTCATGGAATTAATTGGAATTCTCAATTAATTTCCCTCCTCTGTCTAAGGGAAATTCAAATTGAGGATGATCTTTAGCTTCCCAACTTTCCACCTCACCAAGCCGCCACCCCGACATCGACCACGGTTTCGTCTTTGATGATCAAGGAAGAACGGATAAGACGTTGGATGCTCACTAGTCATCCCATGGACTACCCGCCACCGGCTACCACTCCAACGGTCTACATTTTGTGCGCCTTTGTCTCCTAGTGGCATCGCTCAGTTGCTCTCAATCTTCCTCCATTAAAAGTGCCACCAACAAGATAGTGAGTGAGAGACCCAAGGTAAAAAGTTCTATTTGTTAATTGTGGATTTTTATTTCTCCCCATAACATTACTCTCTAATTCTATGTTGTCAATTTGATATTGTCTTGTTAATCTAGTTATAACCGCATGCCTTACTTAATTTCGACTTGATAATTCTGAAAATCTAACTTGGGTAAGCATTAATTCTATAACTAGCAAAGCTTTAAAATCTTATATTAAAATCCCCAAGCAGTTCTTGTTTCCATGCATTACGTATCACATCATAGAGTGTCGGAGTGCCCAAATAACCAGCGCCGCAACTCTCCATTTCAGAAATTTCATATTTTTCATATTTTTCATATTTTCATTCTAAAATAATTTTTATAATTATCAGGTTACACATCTCCTCTTTCTGCCGATCAGCATCCCTCCTTCCCATCTGTCCGCCTGCCATCCTTTGCCAGCTTTCTCAGCCACAGTCTCCAGTCAGCAGAGCCACTCCAACCTTCCAAATGCAGCTTCCAGCCGCACTTCTTCAGCAATATTGGACACAACTCTTCGGTTTTTCCCAGACTTCTTTCAGCCGCTGTTTCCAGCCACTTCTTTTCCACCCAAGTCCTTCAAGAACAGTAGCAGTCCACCTATTCCAATTGCTGTTTTAGACACAACACCCACCTTATTGCAATTGCTGTTTTCAAGAAACAACAAACCTCAGTTCCAACCACATTCCCTGCATTATTTAGACAAGAAACAGCTTCTTGCAGCTGTTTTGATATCTCCTATTCATTGTTCTACTACACATTCAATCTTCAACAATTCCACCTTGTTTAAGGCATTGTTTGTCTTGAGAATTGCATTTTTTACATTCCAAGACCTGCAGTTTCATGATCAAACAGCTGCAGTTTTTTTTCAAGACCTGCAGTTTTTGCATTCAAGAACATCACAATAGCTCCATTTGCAGTTTTTTCAAGAACTACGGATTCTTGACATCAGCCGGCCCTCCACCTTTCTTTTCAAGACCGCGTCAGGATGTCCGTTCCTTTGACTCTCTTGCTTATTTTACATTTCCAAATACATTCTTCTATTTCTACTAATCCTTCTTCTTTCCTTCTTACATGTACCAATTTTTTTGTTCTTATGAATTTCATATTTCCAATTTCCATCATCTTGGGACCCATCACCATGAAGAATTGTGATTTGGCTGACTGTCTGACACATTTCGACCCATACAATCTCATCAAGAATGCTAATTTTCCAAAATTCAGAAATCACTACAACAAGTCGATGTTTAATTTGCTTCCATTGACTCGTCTCTTCAACAAATTTATGCTTTCATAGATTCCATAGACAAGAAACTTGATATTTTGTGTATTGACCGTTCACATACTCCACTTCAGCAAGATACTTTCTCTTCCGCTGGCATCCTTGGTTCTGCCGCCGAATAACTTCTCCACAACTATCACCTTCCAATTTTACCTTAATCAAACAATCTCAACATTTGTTTCAGCCACCACAAGTTTTACTTCAAGCTTGTACAATTGACCATCGTATTCATCTTACATCCTTATCTTAACTTGTTAACATCCATCCTTTTCCTTCTCCATATTTTCAAAAGGATGCTATGGAACAATTAGTTTCTAAAATGCTTCAACCTGGCATAATTTGTCATATTCCCTGATTTTTTTCTATTCTGATACTGCTTGTTCAAAAACAAGATGGTATTTAGCATTTTTGCAGCAATTCTAGAGCTCTTAAAATGCTCATCATTCAAGATAAATTTCCTATTTCAATAGTATATAAATTTTTAGATGAATTACAATGAACTTTTTTTTCCAAGCTTTATTTTCGTTATGTCTCTCAATAAGTTATGATACATTCTAAAAATGTTCATCAAAACTATTGATGACGGTCACTATGATTTTCTCCTAATGCCTTTTTCCCCTCCTACCTTTTTACAAATTTACTGTCAAGTTTTCTTGCAATGGAAATTTAATTTTTGGATGATGCCACATAGGAAAAAATTTCAGCCATATCTTCATCTTTTCCTTCAATCAACCTTGAGGATAAGGTTGTTTTCTATGGTGATAGGAGTGTTGTAAATCAGCATATTATATTTTTTAAATGACAAAGAGGTACATATGTAACAAAGCATTAGTGTAGTCTTTCTTTTACTTGTTTTAGGTAGATTGGTTCTTTAGTGACGTGGTAGTCTACCTAAGTGTTATAAATTTATTTCTAGTTGTAAAAACTTATTATATAATGAAAGATTTCTTGTTTCACCTTCTTAGTCTTACTTCTTTCCCCTCTTCTTCTCTTGGAGTCTACACCTACTCAAAAGGTGCCCTGCCCTTCTTGATATGGATCAAGAAGCATATCAGACGGAGGGGTGGTGGGGTGGGAAAGGGGGCACCTACTCTAGAAGGATAGTATGATAGTCTTTCAATTACCTCAGACTTTTTATTTTTATTTTTCAATTCCCTTAGACTTAAATCTGATAATGTTTCAACCACCTCAGACTTAATAATCCCTAAGATCTTAATAATTTTGAAATCAAGCTATTTTCTAGTACATCAACTAATTAATCAGAAAAAAATAGTAATATATCTCTCCCTTGATGTCGAATATAGATCTAGGTTGAACAGTAATCAGCTTGTTCTACTATTTGTTTTCATGTTTAGCTGATATATGGATGATTTGGATGAACACGAGCTCCATTTTCTGACAGTATGAAAATTCATGAAATTGGAGACCAAGTTGCCAGCTATGCAAGGTGTTTTTACTATGTAATGCCGATTGAAGTACCTAACCTTGCATACTTTTAAAATCAAACTGCAATTACACATGTGTATGCGTAACTGAGGTTTCATTTGGGGTAACTTTCTTACTATTTTTTAAAGCAGTTTTTCAGTGCAAAAAAATTTTGAACTAGATGTTTTTTTACTAGAAAGTTGCTTTACAAAGCAATAAGAAAGCCGTCTCAAATGAAGCCTAAGGCTAGTATAGCAGTGTGTTGTGTGAAGAATCAAGATCTACTGCTTGAGGAATGCTTCTAAGGATGGGGGGGTGTGCATCCAAAAGAAATGATGACACGGTTTCCCGTATAAGAACATCTATTACGTGTTATTCCGATTATTTTCACTGGCAATATTCTTCTTTCCAACATTTAACAATTTATTCTTCTTCATATTATTTCTTTGTTCAACGTTATTTTTCTTGATGCACATAAGCTAATTTTGGTTTCGCATATTTAGTTGATTATGTATGTAATGATAAAAGCATTTTGCAAATTCACATTTGATAGTCGGCCTTATAAACATATATTTAATGTTGTTATTTTCCTGAATAATTTCCAGGCTAGTGAAATTGTCAAATCAAATAATCTTTCCGACAGGATTATTGTGTTGCATGGACGAGTTGAGGCAAGTTTCATCAACCATAGAATCTGTGATTACTTACTTTCACATTGATTGCTTAGTGTGCTGTAATTTTGTAAATGTAACGTGTTTGTTAACTAATCTGTTGATTATCTACTTACATAAGTATTTAAATAAGAACTCAATCTATTTCTCAGGCTTGTTAAGAACATTCAGATTCTGTCTCTGGAAAGCAATGCCAAAATGCGGTTGAATTTTTAAAATGAATTATTGCAGATCTATAATCAAGCCATTATCTGAATTTCTTTTCATTTTTGAAACTTTCCATTCATCCATACACCACAAGGTGATTGTTGGTATAGAAAACTGATGCTTACCATTATGTTCAGCTTTTCTTTAGTGCTTTCCTGAGAGCTTTTGTATTAAAATCTTTCGAGATAGAAATATTATATGAATTCTCTATATGTGTGTTTGTGGGTGGGCAAAGAATTCATTTTGTGTGCTTTTGTTTGTGGGTGCGGGGTGGATGAGGCAGATGGGAATAAAATCTAGGTGTTTGAAACTATGCAGGAAGGGAGAGGCTAATGATATGCAGCAGTACTGCTATTTTAAAAGAATCAAAATAATGCACTGCCATTATCCTTAAAGATGAACTTTTTCAAATTGTTAATCTTTGATTCAATTTTTGGTACTCAGATCATTGTAGTTCGCATCATTAGTAAAAGGACAACTAGCAACTCGTTGGTCAATTAACCTTAAAACTTTATGTAATTATAAATATAACCACCTACTAGAAGCTTATGTTTTCGTAATGATTCAATTCTATGGGCCCATAATCATGATTACTTGTAATGAAAAAAAATCAATAGACATAAATATTCATTTATTCTATGGGCAGTAAACATAATTTGATGCTTTCCTTCTAGCTTTTCTAGTAACAATTAGCAATAGAATCTTGTTGCTTAGGGATACATATAGTTTATATAGGCATTTAAGCAAATTAGTGCACTAGATGAATTATTCATGCTCATTCATATTAAGGCTTGTTTATGGTTATTTATATAATGGAAAAAAATGGAACAAAATTTGAAAGGCTCGTCTTACAAAATGAACAAGTTTGTGCACTTACTTTCTTATTCGTCTTACAAAATGAACAAGTTTGTGCACTTACTCTCTTATTCGTTTATGTTTGTGAATGTGCTTGCTTGTTGTTTAACAAGTAGTGCACTACAAAATAGATAAAATGCTTATTTAATGATGACTTGTTGAGTTATTCTATGTTCTTATGTCAATTTTTCTATATCTTACAAACTTAAAAAATTATGTATACTATGATAAGTATATAATGATGAAAACATCAAATAAATAGTTAGATATATAGATTTAAAATTTTCTTATTGATATTTAAACATCATCATATAACTCAAATAATACTTAATGAATTATATCAATTTTGATTAAATGTATAAATTCAATTATGAATATGATAGGGAACACTTGTAGATCTCAAGTATTTCCTATCAATCGTCGGAAAACAGCGAAAATTCTCCACAAAAATCTGCACAAAACCACGAAAACAGTAGATAATCTGTATTATATGATGAAAAGGAAACAGAAAATAACAAGATACAATTGATCCTCTATTCGAGAGGAGGATTGATCTCTCCCAAATCTCTAGACGCCACTAGAGCCCAAACAAAACCTAAATCTAGGAGATCTCAAACTTCAGTCAAATTCAAGATGCCCTAACCCTAGGAAAACAAGTATTTAATTCATACAAATCAAAAGGAAATCCCTAAACCATCCCTACATTCAATTTCCCTTCTAAAATTCATTAAAAAACCTTCCTAAATGAGCTCCCATTGATTTGCGGTGCATGCGGATAATAGAAGAGGCGGAGATGTCCCGCCTCATTCGTGCCTGGGCCGGTCTCACGTGGACCGGTCTAACAATACTCCCCTCCTAAAGATCCACCTCGTCCTCAAGATGGAGATATGCTCTGGTGTTCCCATGGAGGTGGTCATCCTTGATGTGGCTGAAAATCCTTACCAAATTGCTGACTCAAGGGCTGTACTGAAAGAGAAACATCCCCTCCCTCCATCCTGATCACATCCAGCTTATGTAGTACCTCCTGATAATTTTCCCCCACCTCTTGTAGGCCCCTAACCATGGTCTTAAGTGATACCATGGCTTTGGATAACCCTGCATCTCTTCTTATAACCACCTTTCTCCCATCCACCATTAATTTCATCATGAGTGCTCCCCAATTGTCCTTGGTTTTCCCCAATGTTTGCAACCACTTCATCCCAAGGATGACATCAGTACTTCCAAACTATAGTGGGAGAAAGTCCTTCCTTACCTGAATCCTCTGGATGGTCAACACCACTCCTCTTCAGATCCCCTGGCCTTTCTCCACCTTCCCTGTACCCATTATCACTCCATAACAACCGGTGTCCACCAATTTCAAGCCCAATTGGACAACAACCTGAGTGAAAATGAAATTATGGGTAGCCCCATTATCAATTAGCACCACCACCTCCCTGCCCTTTATCTCCCCCTTCACCTTCATGGTTTGATTTTTAGTTAATCCTACCACTGAGTTCAGGGAAACCTCGGCCATATCCAAATGTAACTTCTCCTCCATCTCTTCCTCTAACTCCCCCACACCTCCCTCATCAGTTTCCTCGTCATCACAGATGGTGAGAACTTGAAGAGTTCGATTTTTGCACCGATGTCCTGGCGTATACTTCTCCTTGCACCTGAAACACAACACCTTTGCCCTCTTCTCCTGCCTCTCCTTCTCTGTCAGCCTTTTGAAATTTTCCCCACTCTCTCCTCCTACTGGCTTCTCCCTGGTGGTCTCATTAATGTTGCTTGATGCAGGCCCCTTGAGTGCTAGCAGAGTGGTCGTTGTCTTGTAAGAGCCTCCTGAGCTGCTGCTTCTGGCTCTCTTCTCCATATTCTTCTGATTTTCCACCAGTTGTGCTAACTTCATGGCATCCCCCAAGTCACTAGACATCAGAACTTTCACTGCCGCTCGGATCTCTGCCTTCAACCCTTTCATGAAGTTCCCCTCCAATACAATATCTGATAATCGCTCCAACTTACTAGCTAGGTGCTCGAACCGCTCCCGGTAGTCTGCTACTGACCCTCCTGCACCAGAGTAAAGAGTTGTTCATAGAAATCTATTCTCCGGTCCATTTGGAAATGTTCTATTATGCTATCCTTAAATTCCCTCCAGCTCCTGATAGGTCTCCTCTTGTCTCTCCATTTGTACCATGACAGCGCTTTCCCTTCCAAGCACAAGCTTGTCGCTGTCAACTTCTCCTCCTCCGTCAGCCCATTGACAGCAACCTCTCCACCTTATAAATCCACTTGTACGCATCCTCCCCTTCAAATATGGGCATTTTTAGCTTCATCACCTTCTAATCTCCACTATTCCCCCTTATTCTTCCATAGTCTCCTCTCTCCCAAGTGCTCGGCCCACCCCACATCTCCCGGTCTTCCATTGCCCTGCCATAGCCCAAACCCCCTTTGAATTCCCCTCTTCTTCCTTCAAAACCAGCACTTCGGCGACCATAATATCCCTCCTGACATTCCCAATCAGCACCCTTTTGCTCCGCCCTTCCATACCCATCCCTTTCCCCATACCTACCTCCTCTATCCTCCCTCTGGAAAGGCTCCAGATAGGGTTTCCTTCTTTCTCCTTCAACGATTTCCACATCATCTCACTCCTTACGAATTTTTCACTTCCATACTTTTTGCCACGGAAGCCGTCGTTTGGTTGTGGATATCCAACATTTTTTTCATCATGTCTCAGAGATCAAATTTTTGTCAGAAAAAATATGTTTCTAGTGGATTTTTGGTGGACATTATTAGGGAAATTATCTTCAGAAATTCAAAAGTAAATTTGTAATTTTTTTGTTTCGCTTCCCTTCAATCATCTACACATTGTTCATCAAATATAAATATCACAAACATATGAAAAATCAGAAACTCAAAATCTCATGTTTTAAGCCCTATAGACATAACAAAATAAGCAAAAAGAAATAGCACAATCTTGTGCTCTAAAAGTTAAAAAAGAATAAGGAAATTAGAAACTTACTAAAATTTACGAATAAGAAGAAAATTACTTTGGAAGTGTGGGTTTAAAGTGAAACAAAAACAAGTGTTCATGCTAAACTCGTGCTTAATGGATGGAGAATACCTATTGATTTGTAAAAATTATATGCGATAAAATAAAATAGAGTAAGACTTTGAAATAGCTGTACTGTAGGCAAGTAATGAGGTAGGAGATCAATGATTGACCAAGAGAGTCAAAGGAGAAACGTCGAGTATGGAGAGAGCCAAGGGTCAAAAAATACAAAATTGATAGAAAATGAGGGGAACATGTCATGCTAAGGAGTTTATTCAAGTTTTTGATGGAGTGCCATCATATATTTATTCACAAGCAATAAGAAAATTTTTTATGGAAAATTTTCTACAAGAAATTAATGTTAAATTTTTTATGGATTTAAAAGCTGATTGAATTTTCTTTGGAAATCAATTTAAAATTTTGAAAAACAATTGCTAGCAAAATTAACCTTATTTGATTGCTTTCCTTTAGCGAAGAAGTATTCTAAAAAAGAAACTACTAATGTTACTAACGCCAACAATATGAAAAAGTGGGAAACATATAAGAAATCTAGTCGACAAGAGAGTAGGAAGATGCGAACCACTAAGGGTCTATTTGGGACAATTTTCTTCCTATTTTGCTTTTTTAGATTGCAACCATAATTCTCTTTGGTTATTGCTTTCTCGATGCTTCTAAAAGTTTCTGTACTAAAAAGCTGCTTTTTGCAGCAACTTTCAAAAAAGTTATTTTCCCACAACCGTTTTACAACCATCTTTATAAAGGCTGCAGCTGTCCCAAACAAAATCTAAGAAGTGATCAACTATAGCATAAGAAAATGATGAACCAATTGGCATTATCTTAACAACTATGAGAATCATTGATGATAAAGTAATGCACGTTCCCTTGTTACTGTGCAACGTATGCAACGCTTGACGTGGTGAAGTAAAACTCTGTAATTTGCCTAATTTGTGGCGAGCTAGCTCTTCATAGACTACTATGCGTCAGGTCAATGCATATTTTTGCTTTGCACCTTATATGTGTGCTTTTAATAACATAGGTTTTTCTTTTGAATGCCAAAAGTTGGACAATCCTTGCTAATTTTGATTATATGTAACCCTAAATTTTTTTTTTCCTAGGTTTTTTTATTAGAATTGTCTTGCATGTTTGGATGATATAGGCATCAATTTTGGTCAACTGTAACATCATTTTGATGTTCTTGGGCTTGGGTAAATCATTGAAATCACCTCTCTGCAATTGAAGGACAAGGCTTTGTTCATCGACCCCTTCACAGAACTCACATTGGTAGGGACCTCACACAATGAATACATCCTTTGTAGGTACATTCCCATAGCTTTGTTTCCTCTGTTTAAGTTGTGTCAGCTAAAATATAATGACACGTCTAGTAGCTATGCTTCAAACCTGGCACATACCGATACTAAAAAGGCAAACATCTAATGGCTCAGTATATATTCTCGATGTACTTCTTTTTGCATTTCTTTCTAATGACCTACTAGCTTTATGCTTCTTCAAATGTTATGAAGGATGTTCTAGGTTTTAGGTTTCTAATGCAAATATAATATGCAAAATAGTGCTTATTTAAATGAAAATAATTAAGGCTTATTTTACTAAATTTTCTAGATGAGGTGCACACAATTTATACAACAAAAAACATGCATATCTTGTGGGGAAGGATACTATCCCAATACAAATAATTACCTGGTATTTAAGATAATGAATGAAAAGAAAATCTAATTTAATTTCAGCAAACAAAATTTTATCTCTAATTTGAATCAAACATAAGAAAGAAAAATAATGAAGAATCACAATAATTAGGATTTCATGCATATTAATAGAGCCAAACATGTAGCACATCTAAACAGACTAATGACACTATCAATGGAATTAAGAGATTAGCAAGGAAAAGAATAAACCAAACATTCCACTTACTTTTGTAAATGCTTTAAGTCTCGCACTTGATCAAGATTGTAATCCTTGAAGGATGAAGACAAATTCAATTTCATAAAATTGAAATTTTTATTCTAGCCAAGTTTATTTTAGCATGCTTCAGAACACCCTTCTATAGATAATTGCACTAGTAATATAGATAGGAAGCATTTGTTTAAATCCAGCCGAAACACAAGCTGGAATAGTCCTAATAAGAACCAATCCTGGATAAGCTACAGTCCAGAAATCAAGTAAAATTGCTGTTACTAGTCTTGTAGAATAAGCTAATACCCCAGGTTGCTACAGTTTAGATTAGGAGATGCTACATAATAACTGTAGTCCCGGCCCCCAGATATGCTTGGTAGAACAGGGCGCCAATAATGAGAAGCCGCAAATAAGCTGTTGTCCGGATAAGAAGTTGCAGGATAATATTCCTGTAGATCTAAAGTTGCAGGGTAAACAACCTCGTAACTTTGGGCATGTGTTTCATTAGAGACATGTATATAAATTAATGGCACCTAATTGCCAAATCTTAAACCCTAATTATAGCTTACTCGATTGACTTAAAATTCCAAAAATTATCACAATGCATGCATCTTGTTATCTTCATATTTAAGTTTTCTTTGTTCAGTTTTCTGGATCATATTAATCGGATGCATTTCTTCTTTTGACTTGGTGATAACAGGATGTCAATGTTGAAGAGATGGTTGATGTCATAATATCTGAGTGGATGGGCTACTTGCTTCTATATGAGGTGCATTTGCATGTCTAGATTTAATGTTCTCAAAATTTCTATTATTTTTTTACGTTCGGCAGAGATTAAATGGTTGATGAAATGATAGTTCAAGCAATAATGTATTCTTTTATGCATTAATTACATGCTTTTTCATAATCCTGACTTTTATAATTTTTTTGTTGCTTATGTTGTAGACTATGCTACCAAGTGTGATCTTTGCCAGGGATAAATGGCTTAAGCCGGGGGGCCTTATCATGCCCTCTCATGCGACGGTAAAATTTTGTTATAGCCTCATTTGTCTTGTATTTGCTTTCTTGCTACATCTAATAGTTGCGGTAATTATTTCCCTATTTCCATTCTTAGCGTGTATTATTTAATCTATCTAATTAAAAACTAAGAAAACCTTGATAACTCATGTTTCCCTGTGAGTAGGCACATATCATTATTTGCTTGCTTGTGTCATGTGAGGTGGAAAAAGGGTGAAAAAAAATAATTAGGAAACGTAAAAATTTGACCAGAGAAATTTCTCAAAAGCACAATTGATGTGTCATGTATTTCTTAAAGATTCAAAGAGATTTTTAAAAAAATGTGGCAATTGTGCAAGAACTTAACTTTTATTCTTTCATGATCATGCCTGTTACATAAAACAACAAATTATAATTTTGACTATCAAATTATACCTACCAAACTTCTCCAAACTCTTAGCTTTCTGCATAATATTGATGAATATTAATACTAGATGCTCCTGATTTTGCTAACAATCTAACTCTTAAATTGTTGGATCAACATTCCAATAATGGATGTGTATGAGCAATATAATTCTCTCAAAATTTCCTTCTCCAATTTCATTCGTCCTCGCATTGATATCTCTAGAATTTTCATGGAAGAAAAAAGTGCATCATCTTATCTAGCCCTTCAAATGTTATATCATTATCATTATTAGCCATATGCCAAATATTTGTGGAGTTTTAATTAAAAAAAGAGTATATATAATGTGAAAATATCTATAAATAATGACAACACGCCTATGTCCTCAACCAAGAGTTCTCCTATGACTCGCCTCTCTTGATAAGATTGCAAACATATATCGTCTTCCTTTCAAAATGACAAAAATAAACACAAATGTATACGACAAACACAATCTTAGTACATAAAAATTAAAAGAAATAGCAACAACACAATTTAAGCACGACACAACAACAACCTTCAAATACGACTAAATATTTTTAAAAGTTTGAGAAAGAAAGATACAAATGGGGTGAACACTTGCGGAGAGAAGAAGTAGATAAGAAGCCCGAGACAAAATCAAAGAGAGGAGAAGAGAAATGGGGCTAGCTCGCAAGCTAGAACAAAACCTGCAGGTTTTACATTCCAAATGTTTTCTCACACCAAAAAACTCCTCAAATGCCATAAAACAGCCCCAATTTATAAGTGAAGAAAGGGATCCCAACAGCCAAACAGCCGCCCATACAAGCCAATAGAAAAGGGGGAGGCAAAAAGACCAAAACCCAATCGGCTAGAACAACACACGAAGAGGCTGCGAGACATAGCCAACGAACGGACAGCGTCAGGGGGAAAGAACCGGGCAGGCAGAGGAAACGAAGAGGCAAAAAAGGGGGAATGAACCCGGGTAGCACCGAAGCAGCAAAAAGGGAAATAAATCCCCTTAAACTCCAAATCCTTACCAAACAGCAACATCTAAACAATGGGCCAAGCCCATTAAGCTAAAATCAGCCCACCAATTAAATACCCAAATAGGCATGCCTTGCTTGCATCATTGACCCTAATGCTTACTGGTTGGATCATGATGATGATCAATGGTGTGATCACAGTAGGAGGCAAGTACTCCTAAAAGGTCGGGTTTATAATGGTCTTATCCTTGGCATGTTCTGAGTTGTAGTGCTGTTATAAATGATGTTGCCAAATTATGATAGACCATTTGGCTTGCTCAGGATAAGCGGGTATGGTAGGCTTATCTAAATCCTCAAATAAATCATTGGGAATTTATTTATCATTATACTGTTTAGTGGAGGATTTCATGGCATAGAAATTGGTTTACTAATAGGTGCTATCCATTGGCTCTTATTTGTGCAAATGTTTTCCATCTTTTGTTTCACGGTGGGCATATTAGTGTCTAGTCTATTAGGATTTTGTCTAAATTCAATTTCTAAAAATACAACTTTTTTATTATCCCAACTAGCATTTCAGTGATCTACTCTTGAAGTTGATTATCTTGGGCAAGATACTCATTAGAATTATTCGTACTTATTCTCGATAGAGTGACATGATAATAAGCTATGATGATGCAGCAAGTGCAACCGTGAAAAATATTTAAGTGATATGCTAATTAATTGATTTTCTTGAAGTAACTATTAACCGATATCACTTAAAAATAATCAAGTTTATTCTAATGGAGAAATCAAGTTTGGCTCTTTTAAATATGCCGAAAAACACTTGGTTCATGATCATATAATAGTTGATACAATGATATTTGAAGGTGCATCAATATAACATCAGTCATTCAGTTTTTTTTTTTTTTTTGTGTGAATTTTATTTTGAATTTACATTGATTATGACCTATTATTTGAGAGTTATGTCATCTGTAAGTTGTGAAATGCATACAAATTAAAACAATCACTAGAAGGCATATTGATTATTATTTGATCTCAAAGCATATGAGTGGTTCTTATATATATTTAATAATGTTAGAATTATGATAACAATGTATAGGTCGACAAAGTTATTTCAAGTCTTAAATACTAGAATTCATGAAAATGTTACTTAAGTATAGCATTGAAAAAAATAGAAAATTGATACTGAAAAAAGTTGGAACTCAACTAAAATTGAATGCCGACTAAAAACATCGAAATTAATGACATTGTAATTTTCATTATATGACTGAAACTGAAACTGAAACCAAATTTAAAAATTTGTAATATGCCCTTCTTTTGGTGTATGCCTTGCACTTTAATGATAAGAGTGCATCTAGAAGAATGAGATGAATGTCCTTCCTGAAATGTTTACTGATGTGATTAAGTGATCCTCTATGGCATCTTAATAATTCATGCATAAATATTATTTTTTTTTATGGAACGATGACAAGGTATAACGTGTTTCTCTTTCTTGCCTTTCTCCTTTTCAGCTATATATGGCACCAGTTACACATAGTGTTAGATACCGGGAAAGCATTGATTTTTGGCGTGATGTTTATGGGATTGATAGTAAGTTACCCTAATTTATTTATATGGTCTCATGTAGCTGGTCAATATGAAAGCATTACACAATCATTTTTCTTTACGAAATAAAATTCTTTTGTCTGCTCAAGAAGTGATTTACTTTATTTCAATCTTCAATTAATGTTAGAGGAAAAGCTAAAATAGAAATGTGGAAGCTTGGTAATGAAGTAATAAAGTGGTTTAATATATTCTTGATCTTTGTTCTCTAAATTGAGCGCTTGGTTTTATTTTCCACTTTTGGAATTTGGGCAAATGACTATCTTATGATTACAGTGACTGCCATGTTGTCTCTTGCGAAACAGTGTGCGTTTGAAGAGCCATGTGTGGAGACAATTTCAGGAGAAAATGTTATGACTTGGCCGTCTGCGGTAACTTCTTATTAGTAACAGCTCCAT